ACGCTGGTGTTACTGGATACTTGAGCTTTCAGGCATTTTGCTCTCTTGGAAGATTAATGATAGGGATATAAAACTGATGAGTTTTGCAAGCAGGAGTATATGTGTGTGAATGGTAAGGGGAGGGAGTGGGTCTCTGACAGAGTAAATCTGAACCTTGACAAAAATGCCCTGTAATATCTTACTGCTTATATCACTTTGCTTATTTTGCACTGCTGCGTTCCACTGATTTCAGCTTTACTTTTAAAGGAGGAGAGTGGGTGCAAGGAAGAGTTTCCTCAGCCATCTAGAGGAAAGATAGCTGCAAAATGCTCAAAAAGGAAAATAGGAAATAACAAGTACATCTTTTAAAGTGTGAGGTTTGGGTTTTTTCTTTCTTGATTCAGGATCTTACAAATTAAATCAGATTTGAACCCCCCCACAGAACAACAACAAAAATAACAAAAAACCCAACCCCAAAACAGCAACAAAAAACCCCCTGTCAGACGTGGAAATCAAATTCCTGTTATGCAATGTAATGTTCTCAGTAATGTTCTCCTATTTTCAGACAGTTGCAGAGGATTGGTTTTTGTCTTTTTTTCTAAAAAAAGGAAAAAAGCTTCAGTGTTTCTGTCATTCTTTTTTCCTCCCTTCTCTGTTTTTGCTATTAACAGTCACTGTTGCCCTTTGTTCTTTGAGCAGCAGTAGTCTGGACCGTTTGGAGTAGCAGTTTCAGGTGTTAAACTTGCCTGGTAAATGGCTTGTAACAACGTACAGCGCTGGATCGATCCTAAAGGTGTTCAGCCTGAGGGGCTTTTGGTTTGTTTCGTACGGACACTGCAGTGGTGTCCTGACCATGCCTTACGCTGTTGTGCAAGCAATTAAATTACCTGACTGCATTCCTGGGGTCTTGGTCTCTCTTTCTTCACTTAGTGTTTTTTAATCTCTGGCTATAACTGCCCTAGGTGTGGAGTAACCTCTCTACTGGACACCTCTTGATCACCTTTGCATGCAGCATACTGTAACCCTCAAGCCTTTGGCTAGCTTCTCCTTGGGCATCTTTCACCGAGCACTGAGTCTTCTGAGCTATCTCCTACCTGTAGGATATGGGTGCAGAGTCATTATCTTTATTGCTTACACCAACAATGCAGGCTGGGACAAACCTGCTGCGAGGCGTCGGTCTGCTCGCCCACTCCAGCACGTCGCCCAGCAGGTCTGCTGGCCACGGAGTCACCATCCAGGTGGGGAAGCGCGGGTCTCTGCCGTTCTTCGCAATGGACTGACCCTGGACATCGCTGAGCCGCTGGCCGCCTCCTCTCTGCTGCTGCTTTGTCTTGTCATGTCAGGGCTTTGTTTTTCTGAATCATTGTTGAATTCACGTCTTTGTTATCAACCGCTGCGAACTGGTATCAGCTCAGCGATCTTGCTGCGTTCTGGGTTTGCTTTTTGCTTTATCTTGCAGGCTCTCGTAGCCTATATGCTCTCACACTTGCAGGTGGTGACAGCTACAGCTCATTGTGTTTCCCTTAGTTAAGCAGGCTTGTGGATCACTTATTTTCTCATTCTTACCTTGCAAGTTCAGGATACGTGCGAGTTACCAAAGATGCACTAGAACACCCTCTGGCAGTGAGAGTCTGCATTACCCACTCGGTCTGAACCTCGATGCTGTGAAGGAAGAGCTCTTTACAACTTCTGTTGTTTAATCCCACCATCCAGTATAGAGACACTCTGAAGACATAGTGTCCCACCAAAATAAATGGTGCTGCTTTTGGAGAGAACCATCCAATACTGAACTTTTGGCCAAAGAAGCTTTAGTATTTTTAAAAGAAATCCTGTTAGGTAGTATGGAATACTAAACGTATCGAGTCAGTTGTACAGGGAGATCTGCTCAGCACAGGCTGGTTAAAAAAAAATGGTAAGACGAAGGAACACTTCAGTAACCCAGTGGCATTTTTGGTGCTTAGATTCTGCAGATTTTAGTGAAGCCTGGATGTGCTGAGCTCTCAAGTGGTTTGGGGAATACTTCAGCCTTCAAGTCTAGACTGTGCTTCGGAACAGGACCAAGAGAGGACAGCAGCTGCGTGTGCTGTATTATCAGATGACTCTGCACTTGGATGGGAGAGATACCCCTGCTCAGGGTGTCTCTGAGGGCTGTGGGCTCTGGAGATGGCCAGCCAGTCAAATGCATCCTCAGCTGTGGTACACGTCCTGCAGGTGTCCCTGCTCGCTGCAGGGCGGTTGGACTAGATGACCTCTAGGGGTCCCTTCCGACCCAAAACTTTCTATGATTCTAACAGAAGTACGTACTAACTCATCTCGCACCAGCTTTTGGCTTTCATCAGGTTCCTCCAAGAACTGTTACAGCCTGCCAACCTGTGAAAAAGTCTTCTGCCAAGTTAGAGACCTGAGCCAGCTTTTGTGGTATGATGCTGAGGGGATGGGAGCCAACGAAGGAATGGGAGACATGAGATAGGGCAGGTCTGTGGGAATGGGAATGTGTTGGACAGGAGAAGGACCATCTCACCAAGGCAGTGCTGGTCCTGTAGCTTGGCGCAGCTGCCCTTAAGCCTGCAGCCTACATCATTTATAGGTGAGATGACTGAGTGCTCAAGACCGTTCTCATGCTCAAACGTGTGTTTGCATCTACGCAGTGAGCATTCAGTTAGCTAATAAAGACGTGGCAATTGACTGTGGTAATTGGAGTGTTGTATCTCCACAAAAAGCTGCCTTCAGTAGAGCACAGTGTTTGCTCATCCAATCTTATGTCCTGTCTCAGCCATACCAGTTATTTGTCGCTTTGGAGAAAGTGCTCCTTGAGGGTTGAGGCAGGACAGCAGAAAGAAATAAAGCTGGCCTGTTATTTGGCCACGTTCTTCCCAAGAACATGCAGACGATGATGTTTTGTCCAAAGTCCCTTAAGAGCGAGCCTGAGGAGAGATTTCACAATCATAGAAATGTAATTAGCCCCCAGGGCTTTGGGGAAATAGGATTTGTTTTACCTTATCTTCTTATTAAGGGGAGAGGGGAGAAGGGGAGGATATTATCTTTGAAAATAAAACATATGGCTCTGTCATTTTTAGAAAGTCTTTTTAGAGAAGATTGTAGAGAATTCTCTTTCTTCTGCCTTATGGACAGCATTCATGCCATGGGCGGTGGTAGACAGCAAGCACAACGCGTTTTCCGCAGTGTCCAGTCTCTGCTAACAGGAATGAGTAGCTGTGGTACTAGCAGTTGAGAGCTATGTTATGCTTTTAGGCTGGTTTTGGTTTAGATAACCACTGAAGCTGTTCAGGATTTGGGGACTGCTTGGACAACGGTGACTTGGTGTCTCTCCAGTGTCTCCTGCGAGAACTTTGTCGGCAGAAGGGCTCCGTTAACCTGGGTGCGAGGGTCACCGCATCCAGAGAGCGAGTCAGGCCTGTGGATGTGCTGGCTCATCTTCTATATAGACTTCCTAGCTTTTACCAAGAGCCCTGGGGTGGTGGGAAGAAGTGCCCTTTACCCTCCGGTTGACTGGGAAGTTTGTTGTAGGTATAAAGAGTTTCCACGATCCGTAGGGAGAGTCCCATCGGACGGAGCTTGGCACGAGAACACACTTGCAGAACGGGCCAGGTGCTCAGCTGGTTGGTCACCCTGTCACGGAGCAGTCCGCACGGAACGCGTGACCCAGAAATACCAGGCACTATATGAAGAAATACATACTATAAATAATAACTGCAGGCGTTGTCACTTTTCAGGGCTGTAATATATTTGCAGGTTTGAGATGTTTCGTAACATGTAGCAGCAAGTCCCTCAGTGCTGGCAAAAACTCCTTACATATTTCATACGCAAGAGCGATGTGCCATGTCTGCCGGCTCCCCTCGGTCTGTCACTGAGAGCCGGAATTGGTCGCGCTTTGCCTTCCTCGCTGTCGCAGCAGTGTTTGCAAGAGGTGCGGGTCTGACCAAGCTCTGCCAGAGAAGCTTTTGGGAAAACTCTCTCAGGGCAGCCAAGACCAGCGCTACCGCTGTCGGAATAATTGTTTGTGTGTTTTGGTTTGGGTTTGTTTTGTTTTTCTGGATTGGCTGCCAACAAAACCAAGGGAAATAATTCCGAGTAAAATTTCAATTTTCTTTTTCATTTCTTTCCTTGACAAATTAAAAACCAGAAATATTTCATTTCACCCAACCCCTGAAGTGTTTCATTTCAGTCATTAAGAAAAGCCAGGGAAAGGAAGGGTTAGACTTCAAAGCAAGTGCCTGGGGGCAGTTCCCGTTCAGTGGAGCGGAGCCCTCGTTCAGGATGGAGGAGACCCTGCTCCCACTCTTCCCTCTGCCAGGGAGGGTTTGAACACGCTTGTCTTGCTTCCCAGGAAGGTTTGCTGGGAACGGGATATTCCAGGGTGAGGATGGGATTAGGTGAAAAATGAGTTGGAGGAGACACGGGCGAGGTGTAAAAACAAAAGTAAGCAATGCTGAAATAAGCTCTTTTTGCTTTGAAGCTGTAATTTGGAAAACGAAACTGGAAGCTTTGCAGTTTTGTATTGTTCGTGAACACTGCTTAAAGAAAAGGTGTTAATATCAGTTTTGGATGATTTTGTCACAATGGAAATTCACGTCTCTGTGTGTTTTCAAAGCCTAGTTTTATTAGCACATCTTTTAAGATGTCCTACCTTTACACGCACAGCATAAATTGTTGAAAGCGGTGCAGAGCCTGTTCGTTAGGACATGCATAAATGCTCAAGAAGTACCACTGAACTGACGTATTCTTACTTGCTATAGCTCTTGTCTCTGCCTCTAAATTCACCCCTTTTCAGAAAATTAATAAACCTGGAGCCAGGTTACATAAAATAAACATTTTACAGTTTTCAGAGGTAACTTCTCAGCGTGAAGACCAGGACCGACACGCCTCCTGCCGCGGGCCTCCTGCGAGGTCTGCAGGCTTCACGCTGGCTTCCCCTGCGTGGCGTTCGGTGGGCTGGGGTCAGCACCGCACCCGCGTTAATGCCGGTCTAAATGGCTGTCGTCCTTGTGTTCTGACTGCAGATCGCTAGACGGCCGGCTGCAAGTGTCTCACCGGAAAGGTCTTCCCCACGTCATCTACTGCCGGCTGTGGCGGTGGCCCGACCTCCATAGCCACCATGAGCTGCGTGCCATGGAGATGTGCGAGTACGCCTTTAACATGAAGAAGGATGAAGTCTGCGTGAATCCTTACCATTACCAAAGAGTGGAAACCCCAGGTACTGCTGACCCCGTGTGCAGACACCTCAGCTTCTCGGTACCAGCAGAGGGGATTTATAAGTGCTTTTCAAAATTGAATAAAGCAGCAGGCATAGGGTTTTAAAACCAAAGTGTATCTATTATTGATGATAATCTCTTACTGTGAGCAGTGGAATAATTTATGAATCTGCACTCAGTGGGGGACATATCATTTTAAATTGATAAAACCCAAGTTGAGCAGGTTGCACTGTTGCCAGGTTCCTAATGTGGCATTGCGTGCACCTAAACAACTGGCATGCAGAGTAGATACAAGTGTGAACTATGGCAGTGTCCTGTGGATCCCTAATTGTTGGTATTAAATTAAGGATAAACTTACTGTTAAGTTGAAGTGGATCTAAGAATAGCTCCCAACACAACCGAACTCCCTGTTCCAAAGTCTCCTCCTGCTGCTGAAAGAGACTTTCATCTGGCGCTGCAGATAGTTCTGCTGCGTGTTAGTACAAATCTGCAGAGCCAGTCTGGATGTTTATGCTAATCCTACCTTGCTGTTCTGTTTTATGGGAAATTTATTCCTTTTAAATCATGTGGTATAACTTCTCTAAATGGTTTTTCAAGAAGACCTGTTTCTTTGCCTGGGAAGGGGCAGACAGACTAGGTGTGTTCAGATAAGCACGTATCCCGTCCCCAGCTGAGATACGTTAAGAATAGCATCTTTAGCTGCTGCTGTTATTTCAGAAGCAAGTATCAAATTGTGTCCCTTAATTAGCAGCTTTAGTATTGCATGTATTTAAGGGTGTTACTCCAAACTGGTCTCTCCTCATTTTCCAGGGTTTCAGTCGTTTTATTTTAAAGCTGTTAATATTGCTGTTCTGGTTGGTTTTTTTTCCCCTTTCGTTTGTGCAGTGTTACCTCCAGTGCTGGTGCCTCGGCACACAGAGATCCCAGCTGAGTTCCCGCCGTTAGACGATTATAGTCATTCTATTCCAGAGAACACTAACTTCCCAGCAGGTATCGAGCCACAGAGCAACTACATTCCAGGTACTGCCTATCTTCCGTACAGCGAGCGGGGGGGAAAGGGTCATATTGCACAGTGAATCGTGTCTATGTACGCCAAGCTGGATGACTAGAAAGTCTTTCTTTCCACGTTACTATGAAGCTAAGGAGTGGGAACCTATACAAAAATAGATGAAAGCTGTAAATGCAGACACACAACAGTGCTGTTTATAGTTTTGTTTTGTTTTCTTTAAACTCACCTCTTCCCTTCAGTAGTACATACTCAGTTTATTGTGAAATCTAAAGCTAAATGTTCCCTTATCAGGTTTAGATTAAAATGAAATTCAGCCATTTTAATTTGAGTAAAACTCTCTAAATTTCTGACGGAATTGAGCTCTTCTATTTATGCATCTCTTTTACAAGCAATTTACACCTTATTTGCATGGACAAGCTATGCAGCTGCACACCAGGAGAGGAAAAATATGTGGACAGAAAACTGTCTACGTGGCTTAAAGTTTTATGGGACTGAAAATCCAGATTTTTTTTGTTTCCCCCCTCTGTTATTCGCGAATATGCTGTCACTATCATCCTGGTTGTGCCAGCTCCTGCTTTCAGCAGCTTGAGGAAGAAAAGTAATAAAAAAGAAATTTAGCTCCTTATGAATAACAAAGTGTCTAAAATCCAGACTTTGCATCCAGTTGCAATAACAGTATGATCATTTTATGCTTGTAGAGACACCTCCTCCAGGCTATTTGAGTGAGGATGGCGAAACTAGTGACCACCAGATGAACCCCAGCATGGATGCAGGTAAGTCATCTTTTGCCATTTGCTGCAGCTTTATAGGTCATATCAGGGACTCTTTTAAAGTTTTACTGTGGGGCACTGAAGATCAGATGATGGTTTGAGGTATTTTATCCCTGTAGGAGTGCAAACATAGCCTGACATCTCATGTAAAGCACAGGGCTGTATGTTTTAGAGCTGCCAGTGAGAAGTACAGCACGTTCTTGTGCTTCCTAAAATCCATCATTAGACAGTACTGAGCAGGAGCCTGAAGCAGTGGAGACACATCTGAGAATGATCGTTCGTGTTGTATCTGCATCCATGCATCTGTACGCGTGTGAAAATTTTGCATGTAGCTGATATTTTTCTGCAGAGGCATTTTTCTGATCGTTTGGTGGTTCACATACTGAAATGTCCAGTGTAACTATGACTGAAATGGCCACTAGGAGATTTGGTTTGAAATGGGTATATCATTTAGTGGAGAATCCCATAGAAAGTTGAAAGTCTAGGTTTTCTCTGACTGCCAAGAAAACAAGTAACCAGGTCTAGGATGAGCAGGCTTAGTGTTCATGCTAACCTGTGTCAACACACTGAAATGAACCATGCAGGTCTCATCTGTCGGGGAGTAACTGTTTCAGGCATCTTGTTGATCTGAGCGGTGTCACTGCTTGTAAGCACATCTGAATCAGGTTCTGAATTCATAGAACTTTTGCTTGAAAAGCAAAAACGCGTCCTTGGTTAGAAGGGCTGATGTTTTACAAGAGGAATATGCAAATACATGGCACTTTAACAGACAGACAGACATGCAGAACCTAATTAATGCAATTACTGCACACAGATATCTTGGTTTCTGTGCGTGTCTTCAGCCGTAGAGCATACGTGGGATTCTAAAAGAGGGGTGACTGATTTGCAGTCCTTCACCGCAGTTAGACAGATGGAGGAAGGCAGTGTGGGTTTGTTTGCCTACATCAAACATAAGCCTATTGGCACGAACCATTTTAGTGCATACAATTATTGGTAATGTGGTTGAGGTTTGGAATGTATGTATGGCTTTTTGGAAAGTGGGCTGGAATAGGATTGGTCTGGAAGATGCTATAAATACCCAATTCATGTCCAAATGCTATATCCCTTCCTTCGGATGTCACGGACTTCCCTCTTCATAGAAAAACAAATTCTAAAGAAACCAGCTGAACTCAGTGTGAGAGGAAAACAAAAAATGGGCTGTACCACCTGTCTGCAACCGTGTGGCATCCAGAGACTGTGCACGTTGCTCTGGACATCCAAGTGCAGATATCTGAAATATATGCGCAAAATTTGTGGACCAAATTGAAATGATTGGGGATAAAATACTGACAGTCGTTTGGTCAGGTCTGTTTAGCTCAATCCCATGCTCCATTGTCCTCACACCATTAAGATTTGTTGATGGAAAGTGTTATGTTTTTGACTCTTATGAGTATGTTTTGTGCCTAGCAATGTAAAATCAAGCTCTCAAATGCCCAGCTAACTGGGTTTGACTGGAGCTGTCGTGGTGGTACCTGGTGTTTTGATAACTGCAAGTAAAACAGACAACTGCGTGCTCAGTTTTGAAAATTAGTGGGTTAAGCTTAAGTGAACGCATTATGAAGATGCTTAGCAGTACTGCAGATGTAGCAAGCTGATATATAAGTAATAGCATTTGGGAGCTTACGTAAAGAGTAATGAAAAACAGAGGAGCTGCTGGTGTCACAAAATGAGGCTTCAGTGAGAAGTGGGTTCTCCCTCCAACAAGCCTGGGCAGCCCTGAAGATTTTGTGCAGGTGTTTTTCCTTGTGCAGATGCCATACTAATAATTACAATGTCTTGATTTTCAGGTTCTCCAAACTTATCACCGAACCCTATGTCTCCAGCACACAATAATCTGGGTAAGCATGTGATCTTGAGAACTGTGTGTAATTACAGTCAATATAGTGACATTTTAATTATGATGTTCTTGCTTGAGGTTGTGCGCTTTTGATGAGGGTGTGAGCACCGTCGATGTTCCTTTCCACTAATCCTCTTTACCGTGGTAACAGTGGTTCATAGTAACTCTAGATGAAATAAAGAAATCCGAACTTACATCAGAGAGTTACATGAAAAATGGGGAAACGTTGGCAGACAAATACCAAAAAGGAGGAGTGAAGGACTGCAGCAAAAATATGCTTGGTTGATTACATGAGTTTGCAAGGAGGTCCTGTGCAGCCTGCTGTAGGTGACCCTGCTTCGGCAGGGGGCTGGACTAGATGACCCACAGAGGGTCCTTCCATCCCCGAACATTTTGTGATTCTGTGAGTGTGTCTGTCTGTTTCGCTGGCAGTTTTGTGCTCTTGTATTTTTAAAGGACACAGACTGGGGTTAAATTTTGTCTCCTAAAAAGTTACTTTGTAAATTTGTAGTGCTTAGCCATCTCTTTTACAATGGACCAGAGTGCCTTGCAATTTTTTAATGTTTATTCACTTGGTGTGACGTCCATTACAGGGCAAATGCTGCTATCCATAGATTGTGGAGAGGGGGCTGAGGTTCAGAGCTACAGATTTGCCTGCACTGCTTCATCACCTCGGGCAACCGTCTGCTTGACCGAAGGGCAACAGATGCATTACAAGAAAGAAATTTGTCACTCTGAGGGTGGTGAGGCCCTGGCACAGTTGCCCAGAGAAGCTGTGGCTGCCCCCCCCCCGGCAGTGTTTAAGGCCCGGGTGGGCCGGGGCCCAACAGATGCATTACAAGAAAGAAATTTGTCACTCTGAGGGTGGTGAGGCCCTGGCACAGTTGCCCAGAGAAGCTGTGGCTGCCCCCTCCCTGGCAGTGTTTAAGGCCAGGTTGGACAGGGCTCCGAGCACCCCGGGCTGGTGGAAGGGGTCCCTTGTCCCCTGGAACAAGATTATCTATAAGGTCCCTTCCAACCCATTCTAAGAGTCTGTGCTCAAAAGAGCCTGGAGGAGCGTTGTGGGTGAGATGCACAAACCACGGATGCGCTGTGGGATTTTTCTGACCGAGCCAATTGGTTTTCTTCAAGCAAACTCAGGTTACGCTGCAATCTTGAGTTATCTTTCCCCCCCCAACTCCATCCTGGGCCCCAGGAAGATAGTCCAGCCCTGAGTGCTGTACTAGACCTGACTCACTGACTCACCCCATAACCTGTAGACAGTAAATAGGAGGAAAGCCGAAGAAGAAGGAATAGCAGTTGAGCAGGGGCTTTACCTTTGAGATACTATTAGTGGTTTTTGAGATACTATTAGTGGTTTTGTGGCTATCTGTGAACCTCCGGTATCTTCTCAAATGGCTCTGCCCTTTGTTTTCATACCTAGAGACATAAAAGGTCTGATCTTCATCAGTTTGAGCTCTTACCCTGTTTGAAATTGCTCTCAATGGTCTGTCATAAAAAGCACTCATAGCTCTGGCTAGCTGCAGGATCAGTTCTCTAAATGTTCATTAAGCCAGCAGACAGAGGCCACTTGAGATTACTTTTGAATACCCGTAGCTGTAAAGTTTACATATGCTTTTAATCCTGGCATGGGGTACTTTGACACCGCTCCAAAATTTGTTAGTCATTGGCTGCCTTGTGGATATCTTGGGGCTGTTGAAGGGGGGATTTCTTTTCTCTCCCTTTTTTTCCCCCTCTTTTTTTTTTTTTCGCCAGAGCATGGAATATGGTGCCACTAAATTTTTATTTGCTTTAACTGTTAAAGCCTAAGAAGAGAATCCATGGCTGACTTCTTTTTATTTCCTTTTTTCTTTTTTTTGTTTGAATCCATTACGTCCCAGTGTGCTTCCTAGGAGTTGATGAGAATCCCTAGCATTTTTTTTTTCAACCTAAAAATAAAAAGCCAATTACATGTAATAAAACCAACCTGGCAAGTTGACTGTGGCATCTGCCTTACGTAAGGAAGAAAGGCGATTCTAGCAGAGGCCCCAGTGTATATACCCTTTCTAACAAGGCCACTGGTTATTGATGCATGCTGCTCAGCTGATGGGCCCCTCAGATGTCTGATGTGCTGACTGGTGACAAAAGCTAAGCAGGAGCAGGTGAGGCTGGTTAACCGCGAGGAATCCCTTTGTAGTCTAAGGAGCAGGCAGCAGAAAAGCGTTTTCGCTTACCGACATTAAAAGATACCTTCAAGTTTTGCAAACCAAAGAGTTGTTGCTCTTAGGCAAGAGCTGCCACAAATTAAGAACTTCTTGTCTCTTTTAAAAATGTTATTGTCAATTTTTGCATGTCAGGAAGCAACAAAACGAAATGGCATTTAAGAGCTGAGCAACTCTTAAAACTGTCAGATGACAAAATCGTCATCATCACAGAATCCCAGCATGGTAGGGTTTGGAAGGGCCCTCTGTGGGTCACCCAGCCCAACCCCCTGCCCAAGCAGGGTCACCCAGAGCAGGCTGCACAGCACCGCGTCCAGGCGGGGCTGGAATATCTCCAGAGAAGGAGACTCCACAGCCTCCCTGGGCAGCCTGGGCCAGTGCTCCGTCACCCTCAGAGGGAAGAAGTTCTTCCTCATGTTCAGCTGGAACTTCCTCTGCTTCAGTTTGTGCCCATTGCCCCTTGTCCTGTCGCTGGGCACCACTGGAAAGAGTTTGGCCCCATCATCCGTACCTTGCAGATGGTGTATCCAAAGCCAGGAGCTGCCGACAGAGGTGTAGGGGCGAACACCATCAGCCCGTCGGACCTTCCGCCTGCAAAGGGGTTGCAGAAGCTGTGGGAGCAGAACCTCTTCCCGGTGCTGGAGGTTCTTTCCGCAGCTAGACAGAAGTTAGGTGGTGGCTGGTGACCTGCGGTGCTCCTGCTTTTGCCGTGCTGTGTAATTCTGTGGATAAGCAGAACGCTCCAGGGTCTAGGGCTATACTTTGATCTGCAGAAGTTTTGTCAGGCTTTCTCTGTGTGTTTGTTAAGAAAATTGAATAGAAATGTAAAAACACAACAGTGTGTAATGAGGGAGATTATCAGCAAGCTCTCAGCAGCAGCATGTGGTGGATTTTTCCAGTTTTGCCATCAAGAAAATAATGTCACAGCATTGGTGTCTGTTTATTTAACCAGAACTACCTGAAGCTTTTAAGACAGTTTACTTTGTGTAAGCTGAACTTTGGACTCAAATCCTACGGCCAGATTCCAGAGAATGACACAGGCAATCAGCTAGCATGAGGCAAACCAGCTAGGACAACAGAGGCTAGGTTTGTCCGAGGTGCAGCGTATGTATTTCAGCGCGAAGCTGTGAGACCGTGATAGGGGGCTGAAGGAAGTCGGGGAGTTTCATCTTTCCAGTCCCAGGCACAAAAGTGTGGCAAGTTAACATATTGGGATTTATTTTTTTTTTCCCCCTTTCAGCTTGCGCATTTGATTTGGTAGCATTCTAGTTTTGGTCCAAACTTTTCAGCTGTCAAATTTTCAGTTGTCAAACATAAGCTTTAAATGGAAGCTACAGATATCCGACGATCTCTTCTGTACGGAATACGAACTGGAGAAAATACAGCAAACAACCGAAATGAAAGGACTGTTGCCAGCATGATGCGGACATTGGGAATGAAGTCAGGGAGTTTACGCTGGCCAAGGGCCAGGCCTGAGGTTGCATGCGTATTGTTATTTTCGAGCGAGGCAGTCCCTCGGTGCACAGGAAATCCATTGTCAGTGTTTGCTCCGCAAAAGACTTGACGCAAAAGCCGTAAGTGGAATAAGCACGTACCCTGTGGTCAAAGCCATCAGTAAGCTACGCCTCTGCGCTGAAACACCGTTTCCCAAAGCAGCGAACAGACAGCCCTTCTCAGAGTCCGGCGGGAAGGGAGCGTCCACGCCGATTTATCTTTATGTTTCTGCGGAGGGAGTGAGAAGTAATGTGGTGGCAACTTGTGCAGTTGGGTAACATACATAGTAACTTCTGATACACGTTGTATGTCCAACATATTGAGACGAGGATAACAACAGCTCTTAGGCCTAGAGCAACCGGTGTAGAGCATGCAAAGCAGCCAGCAGTTTTTTTCCTCCGCAGCTGAACAGGTACTGCTTTCATCTTGCAGGGGAGATGCAGTGTGGGTAGCGTCCCAGTACCCCGTGGACACTTGTGAAAGCAAAGCTGTAGCGAGTCAAGGTTGAAATTGTGTGGAGACAGGATTTGCTTGGTTTTAGTGTATCACTTTTAACTGATTGTGTACCCCCTCGGGATTCTTTGGTTATAGCAGAGCTACGTTCTCTTGCTTCTCCCCAAAGAGTAAATCCGTAAATTGAAAATGGATATTCAGGACAGCTCTAAAACAAGAGGAAACTCGCCCATCCCATGACAGCTTAAGCTGAAGCCTAGGACCACAAATCACAGGAGAAAGCAGCATCGTTAAAAGCTTGGCTGCGTTCTTTAGAGACGAGTTTTTCTTCAAAATAGGATTTGTTGGTTTGTGTTTTTCCTCAAGTTGCAAATAAGCCAGAAAGAGAGTTTCCGTACATTCTTCAGGGGGGAATCCACAGTTCCCTTGAGTCGCAACCAAGCGGAGGTGGCTTCTGAAGGAAAGGACCACAAAACCATAGAGAGCAATACGGGCTTTGGTGTGTTTGTAACTCGAAGAGCACCAATCTGAGGACATTACTTGAGGATGAACAAAAGTTGATTTGCTTTTTCTGGAGCTGAGCAGCCTTCCAATTAGAAAGGCACTTGCTGTGGAAGAAGAGCACAGTCATGTGGAACATGATCTGGTTTTTTAAGTGGGTGGACATACCTGAGGAAGCTCTGATTAGTGCCGGTGTTTGCTGTACCTCTGTACAAACAGCGCTGGAGTCATGTGAAGCCCAGAGTCCGTTACCACACATGCAGATTACTGCCGCAGGCCACGACTGCTCACTGATGGAATGAGGGTGGTGTTGGGGAAATAACACCTGATGTGGCAGTGCCCGGTGGGACAGCCGAGTATGTCACGCAAAAGAAAAAGGCAGGGACAGTGAGCTCGTACAACTCCTGCATGTGTTCAGTATCATCTCTCCGTCAGGAGAGGGGCTTGCTTTAAGCTAAAAAATCGTTTACAGTGTGGAATAACAGCAGGTATGCTTACCCGATCTCCTAAATTGATGTAGCGGCCCCTGCTCTGTTGAGCTGCCTTCCGTTAGCTTTCGCTTTGAGCATTGTCTCCTTTTCTATAAGAGTTAGACACGCTTTTTCTTTTGTGGGTGTTATGTGTGGAGGAGAGCAGGAGCATCGAGCTTTGCTCCTTTCTGATAGAGCATTTTTCTTTCAAATGATATCATTAAGGAGGAAGAGAGACTGTGAAAGAAGCTGGGAATGGGTATAAGCTCCAAAATTCACGAACTTTGAAGATCTACTGAGGATTACAGAGTTCCCTAGATGCACTTTTATTCAATTCCTTATTTGCTGTCAGCAAAGCTTGTAACAAAGCAGAAACCAAAGGGTTTTTTCTGATTATTAGCTCCTTTGGGAGCTCAAACACCACAGTAATGGAGAGGAAAGCAGCACGTCTTTTGGCTGAAGCTGGGCTGCTTCAGCCTGTTTCTAAAGGTTATGGAGTAACAGCAGGTACCGGGTGAGAAATGACTCTCAAACCTCTGTGGAGACACTCTCTCCAGTGGGAAAGAAGGCTGAGATAGTAAAAACCTGTCTTTGATTTTTTGGATCTGATCTCTTAAGCCCCAGATTTGCCTAAGCCTTGCAGGAGCAACAGATGGGAAAGCCTATGGAAAAAGCTGGGTTTTGCTGCTTGATGTTAACTCTTTGGCCAGATGGGAGGTTGCTCTGTTCTGCTTTGAAGCGCTGTTTGAATGGGGATGAAGTCATAAACTGGGGGGGAGGACTGGAGGGGATTCTTGTCTTGCTTTTCTTTCTTGCATTGACTGTGGGGAATAGAGCACTTATCGATAGCTCAGTCTGCTTTCCGCTTCCTCCACTCAGCAGATTCTTGGCTTACAGCAGGACTGGGCACCATCCAGTGCAGCATTTCCAAGAATATTTGACTTGAGCCTTCCTCTGCTGAAGTCTCGTTGGCTTCAGTGGGAGCAGTTAGATCATTCGATGCCATTTGATGTCCCACCTTTCACACATGTGAAGTACTGCCTTCCTGAGACAGCCTCAGTCTGCTCCTGAACCTCGGTCCTTTCGCTGCGGTCCGCAGGCTGAGTCAACCCAGAACCCCAGGATGTGCCACCATCTATTGGGGAAATGGATTTTCTTCTGATAATGTGAGATCAAGTGCACTGGAAGGAAGTACCTCATTTTTAAATCGCTTTGGTGCTAGCATTACGTACGATTCGGTGCATGTTGCAGACAACTCTACCGGTTTCCTCAGTGCTAGAGAGATCTTAACAGGGTCAGTAAGAATGAAAGCTGGGCTTGCTGGCTGCGTGGTGTGAGGGCACAGCATTACGGTTTCGGAGACCTGTGTTACTGAAAGCAGGTTTGTGGTCTGCTCTTTCTAAGGTTTTCTCTTTCTTCCTTTTCTCTTCTCTTTTTAGGGTACTGGCTACCTAAAAGTGACCCCACATTTCATAGTAAGGCTACATATTCTCCAAGTATGAAGATAGTAGAGTGACACCCCCCTTGCTAAGTGGCTAATATCTTTCTTTGTGATTGTTCCATGTGCCAAAAGCTTCAGGGTTGAAGGGTAACTTTCTAGCTGCAGCCCATTAAAACCTGTCAAGTAATTAAAGTTAGGTGGTTAAAGTGAGCCCAAGGAATGAAGCAGAACAATATTTCAAAATGGTCGCTTTTTTCCATCCCCCCCCTTCCCCTCCTGAGGGCCTATGTTTCATTTTGCTTTTTATTTTGTGCAGATCTGCAGCCTGTCACCTACTGCGAGCCAGCTTTCTGGTGCTCGATATCCTACTATGAACTCAACCAGCGAGTAGGAGAGACTTTCCACGCCTCACAGCCCTCTATGACCGTGGATGGTTTCACTGACCCATCTAATTCGGAACGCTTCTGCCTTGGTTTACTGTCCAACGTGAACAGAAACGCGGCGGTGGAACTCACAAGACGGCACATTGGTAATTTCTGTTTCCTTGTCTTAGCCGTTGTCTTTCTAGGTGGAACGTGGAGACCTGCATGGAAAGCTTTGTCTGTAGCTGATCGGCATGCAGCTTGGTCAGTTTTCGAAGATCCATGGTGTTTTAGCAGGGTAGTCTTCCATAAAGGAACAGTAATTGTATTTTTTCATAAAAGTAATATAAAGAAATGCACTGAGGAACACTAAAATTTCTGCATATAATCAAAACATAATTTAAACCTTTACATGCACTCTTCGGTATTTGGAAGGATGTTAGTGATAAACTCGTGTATTCCTTTTCCCTCCTGCACTGTTTTATTTTCTGTTTTTTTAATAAACGGAAACTTCGTTCCTTGATTTTCATCTCCATTTCCACTTTATCTGCTTATACAGCAAGGCAGCATTCAATTTTGTTTTCAGTTAAACTTGTGCTAAATAGAACATCCCAGACTTGAGCCTTTTTAAAAAAAGGCAAAATTGCTTATGTTTCATTGTGTTTTCTGCTGAGGTCTATCAAAAATGAACCTGCTTTTTGTCCTGATTTTGCTCCCCTTTATACCCTGTCCTGAGCAGTAAACTTTCATACAGGAGGATCTTTCCTGGCTTGTTTCTGAGATGATTTCTAGCACCAAAAAAACCCCAACCCCCCAAAACCCACCAAGATTCAGAAATCAGACTTTAAATTCAGCAGGTTTTTTTTGATGTACAGCAGAAATTTGTTTCTTTATTAACTGAGATATTTAATAATTTGTGTAAACTCCTGTGGGAAATGTATGTTTGTCCTTGTAGGCAGTGTAATCTCAAGCAAAAGGCAATGATTTGAAAACGTTGTATGATTTAATTCCAAATCACTAAGTAAACAAACAGTTGTATCCAGCTGTGAGGACTTTCGGAAGAGGCTGAAAATGGTTTGTTAACTGATAGACCGTTCGTATGGAAAATAGCAGAGGCGAGGATGTTTGGAGTAAGCAGGCCAGGAGGTGGTAAATCTCTGCCGGCCAGGCTGTGACTGACAGCGGGGCCGGCGAGTGCAATTCTGACTTTATAAATTGTTCCTCCTGCCTTCCTCAGCTGAACTCGCTCACAGAGCAGATGTCGTGCTCCCTGATGGGAGTACCCCTGGGCCAGGAGTGGTTTTTCTTTCCCATCCGTCATAGTTTAGCTGCTTTCTGAGAGCTGTCTCACGCAGGGGTTATGTCTCTACCAGCTCTTCGTGCAGATTTTGCAGGTGATTGTTCCAAGCTAAATCAAAACTGTGCCGTGTGTTTCCCAGGAAGAGGAGTAAGACTCTACTACATTGGCGGCGAGGTGTTTGCCGAGTGCCTCAGCGACAGCGCCATTTTTGTCCAGTCTCCCAACTGCAACCAACGCTACGGCTGGCACCCAGCAACAGTTTGCAAGATTCCCCCAGGTAAGGAGCTGTGCCTTACCCTGCGCAGGCTTCAGCGTTCGCAGACGGGGGATTCTGTGGCAGGGGAGCTCTTTGTCGAGGCAGGCATGGATCTGCCGACCGCTGTTCTTGACAATAATGAGAGACTTCACCCTGTTGTAAGCAACTGGACAACATGATCAGGGCATTTTTATACCGTATAGGATCAAGGTACTGACATAGGAGGCTGCTACGTGTGCTCCAACAGTTGTCTGCACTACATTCATACACGTAGGAGGAAAGAGTACTTCAGGATCTAAGCAGAACCACGAGCAGAATCTGCCACTAATTCCGTGCAGTATTTTACCAGTCTGTTATTGTGTTGTAATTATCTATAAGTTTATAATTTTGTTTGTACCTTTGAGTAAAAGAATAGAATGTAAGAGATTTTTCTTACACCCATAATAGATGTAAATTGTTAATTTTTTCTATTCTGTAATAAAACTCCCCCCCTCCATCTTTGTGAATTAGTTTTACTCTAGGGAAGTTGCATTTGCAGGCACCTTGTTGTTCTGCTTACAGCAGACATACATAAGATTACCAGAGAATTTACTGCATCTCTCTAGGAAGAAGATACTTTTTTGTTAGGTACATGCAAAAGAGCTAGGATGAGAGTACGCCGTTCGAAAGGGAATTTAGCTATTTAGTTAGTTTTACAAAAGCTAATCTTTTTACAGTTTAGAAGTATGTATATATTTAAAAAAACAAACTTTTTTTGTTTAGAAATATTTGGGTAAAGATTGCCTTTCTTTTGAGAAGAGATCCACACGCCGCAAGCTCTGGCCCATCTTAATGGGTTTCCTTTCTCAGATGCTTAGGAAGCAGCTGCCAGTGTTGCAAACATGACTCAATTCTCCAGCCACATCACAAGAGTCCACCCCGGCTGGAGTCAACATCTGAAGACATAAACAACCCACATTTCCGCTGCAGATTCATCTGAGGCACATTTTTTGGACTCCAGCTCTCCCCACTTTTGCCACAGTCTTTGGCTGCCTTCTCAGGCTCATCTTCAATTCTTTGCTGGGTTTGAAGTAGTTTCTTCATCCCCTTGTTGACAAGATCGAGTCGTACCCGCTCCTCCCAGGCACGGTGGTGGAGGGACCTGTTCCCATCCAGTCCTGAAGCCTGAACAGCTTGGCGGTCCGGGCCTGACTGAGTTTTTTCTTTCCTTGCCGTAGCTCTTTGTGCTCAGCCTGGCCCTGCTTATTCCCCCCGCCTTGGACCGCAGCACGCCTGACGCAGCTTCCCTTCAAACTCTCTGCAAGATACACGGCTCTTGGGCTGGGCTCTTCTATGGTCACCAAAACGGGGAGTTATTTCTGCAGCTGCTGAGCTGTTGCACGCGGTTACGCTTTGCTGTACGCAGTTTGACCCACAACAGATGACAGTGTGAGTCCAGCCCAAGGGAGCAGGCTCAGAAGTGATGTTAGAAAAATACACTTCATCGGAGTCCAAATGGTTGTTTTTCAGACTTGGCCCACGTGGAAGCCCAAATGAGCGTTCGTTGCGTGCCAAGTTTCAGAGTTTAGCTTGTTTCTGGTTATCTGGGAGAAAGCAAGCACAGCAACAATTTTTTTTAAGAGTTGGGCATTTATTTATTTATACTATGAAGAATGTTGTTATATTTCACCTTTATCACCTAAAAACAGTTAAAGAAGTTGTCCTCAGTCTTTTACCTGGGACTAAACACTGGGGGCAAACTCCAGCTCTAAAGGGAAATTCCTTGGCACATGAGAGGTCCATTTAGGAGACGGTGAGAGCCGAAGCAGCTCTGCTGCCGGCCTGATTAACCCTGCGCACTGACTCCTGGCTTGCCAGAGTGGCTTCACCTCAGAACCTCTCCATTACTTCTGCTGACAGACACCGTGTAAATCCAACACCAGCGAGTTCCTAGTTTTTATCTGTGTGTTCCCTTCTTTCGGGCCCCGTAGCGGCTGCGGGTGGTCTTTTTTTATGGTCATAGTTAAGCTTTTAAATTCCAAGAGGAGGGTTGTAAAGGCGATGGAGGGAGGCCCCACGTGAGGATCCCAAGCCTTGCTGCACGGATCGCAGTCTGCTGTGTGGGCGCTAGCGTTCACCACTCTCTGTCCTGTAACATGGTTTGCTTCCTTCTCAGCGTGTGAGCTGTGGAAACGTGGCAGCCTTGATTCCTTTCCTGAAACGCTGCCTTTAAACAATCTGTGTATAATATCACACGGTGTGTGGACACGGGAAAGCAGCACCGAGTTTCTTTCCATCCTCAGAAAGAAACAGATTTCTCCATCTAGTTAAGCTAATGCCTTGTTCTTGTTGTGTTCTTTTTTCACAGGATGCAACCTGAAGATTTTTAACAACCAGGAATTCGCCGCTCTCTTGGCGCAGTCTGTGAATCAGGGCTTCGAAGCTGTCTATCAGCTGACCAGAATGTGCACCATTCGAATGAGCTTTGTCAAGGGATGGGGAGCGGAATACAGGTCAGGCCTGGTGACTGGAACCCACTGTGTGCTTGTGCTTGCTGTCGCCGCTCCTGCATTTCGCAGCCTAGGGCAGCGTTCTGCAACGCTGCTTTGCTCAGCTGTTGAGGTTGTGTTGATCTCCTGTCTTGTTTTTCCCCTCCTGTTTGTGTAAAAATGACATCAGGCGATATACCTGGAAGACCACGTGTGTTTGGTCACAGCGTTGTAGGAGCCAGGAGCTTTACTGGAAGCACAGTAGATAAATCCAGATGGCCCCTGTAGGAAGTATTACAATTTTTTTCTTAAAATTAGATGCATATTTGATAGTTTGAGTGTCTTAGGATGACACTGTTATCAGGATAGGATCCCTGTGAGTGCTTTCTAATAGATCTGGGTTGGGTTTGATGCTTCTGTTAGCAGGGACTAAAGGGATTAAAATAAAAGCAGATCAGCTTTAGAATTTGCATTTGGAAGAACTGTTAGAGTGGCTGCAAAATTGCAGTGAAATCTCCTCATCCTTTCCTTAGTGTTTGTCGTAGGGCAGTTGCTTAAATGTGACCAGCGGCAGTGGGAGAAACGGGGTTACTATTTTTCCCAGTGAAAATTGAAGATAAAAAGGGAGGTAGAGTAGGGTCTGGTGTTTGGAATCGACGATGTGGTCATTCTGACAACACGGGGACAGCAGAGACAGTGTGGGGGACGACGGAGCGCTCCATAGCTTGTGCTGCCCTCGCTGCGTTGCGTTGCCCAGCAAACGTCCCGGAGCAGCGAAGGGAGCGCAGCCAGTGGTTACCAGTACAAGCGGGGGAGATGAAACTCATCAGAAAATGAATGTCACTTCAGGAGAGAAAGCTGGCAAGGATTTCAGCCGAATGTGATTTTGCAATAGGTACCTGCGCCTGTAGCCGTTAAATCTGTGGCCTTGTTTGGCGGCCGTGGGGCAGTCCCTGCCTGCCGGAGTGTCTGCCAGCGATGCCATGCTATCAGCTGGAGCCTGGGCCCCGCGCGTTACTCTCCCGCTTTCTTCATTTCTCCAGATGTTTGGAGTCCATTTTGTTTTGAAATTGTCCTGCACCCAGGCCAGAGCATTTCAGCCCTGGCTCACGGCCACGGCTCGTAATGAAATCCAGATGAGCGTGACTTACGGAAAGTCAACTATCTCATTAGAGCGTTGTAGTCAGTGAAACCCTACGCTCACGCTGACCGCGCCGAGGCTGCTCCCTTGCTCCTTCATTTCCTTGCCACAAAATACTACATCTGATTGCTTTTGTCAGAGCACGTTTATTTGTTGAACCGATTCATCTATGGAAACGTTACTGTGGGAGCTGCACCCAGAGCACCGCTCCGGTGATTTCTGGTTCAGCTGCTTGGAGCAGCCTAAACTGGTGGGGTGCTCAGTGCTCCCGTGTGCCGGGGATTTGGTGGAGGGAAGAGGGGGGAAGCCAGTTGCATAAGCAGCCTGCGATACAGAGGTTCTCCTCTGCCCGGTGAGATCCCGGTGGAGCACGCTGAAGGCATGGAGACCTCTGAGGTTTTGCCTTGCTGAGAGGCTGGAGCCGATGTGCTGGTCAGCCCTGTTGGAAGGCGGAATGGAGTTTGCTCAGATCGGTTTGCAGAGGGGAGAAGCACGGCAGCCCCACAGGTAGCCGTTTTCTGTACGGCGTTGCTGGACTGCTCAGTGTTACCCTGGTTTCAGGCAGCAAAGGGGAATGCCCTGCCAGTTAAGGCAGGCTTTATTTTTTTTCTGGGACCCAAGAGGCTGGCATGCCTTGCTGAAGCTGGCAGAGCGAGGGGGGTGCCCTGCTCTCCCAGTCCTGCAGTCCTCCTGCCCAAAGGGCTCGCGAGACCCCCGTTAATGCCAAAGACACAGCGTGAAGTCGCTGTGCAGGACGAGCCCTGCCCGGACGCCCGCTCTCCGGGCAGCGCCTGGCCTGCCAGCTCTGGTCAGCTGTGCCTGGGCTGGGGATAGGTGCGGTGCCTCCAGGGACCTGCTTCCATTTCCAGCTCAAAGGATGAGAGATACAGGTTCGTCAACAGAACGGGGTGCAGCCCTTGGCCAAAGCCTTGCCGAGCCATAACCCGGAGCCGTGCAGGGGCAGGGATGGCAGTGGGAGCGTCGGGCAGCCCCACGGAGCAGAGGGTCCCCTTCTCCGCAGTGGTTTCTCCCTCCCACAAACAGATTCCAAGGACAACTTCTGTGGAAAACAAGGGTGTAAAACAAGGCTGTTTCCAGGCTATTTCTCTCTCTTCGTAATCCTCCTCCTCCACAGCAGCTGTCCCTGCCTCTCTGCCTGGAACAAGACTTCTGCCATCCCTCGGCAGAGGAGGGCGAGCCCCTTGCCCCGTGTCTCGGCCTCCCTTCCCTTCCCCTCCTCCCCAACTCTTCCTGCTTTACCATCTGGAGACCCTCCATGGGGTCTGGCCTCGGGGAGAGTAACAGAGAGGCAGACAGGGCGGGGGAAGGTGCTGCATGGCAGGAGAAGGTAAAAGCATGGTGTGCACTGACCCAGAGAGGCATCTCCCTCTGCTCTCCAACCCCAGCCGCCAACCCTTGAGGGATTTTAAAACCCACGTTTGATACCATGTCTCTGCCTTTCGGATAGGTTTTGCGACTTTTTACACTCCGCAGCATTTCTGCTTCATTTGCGGCAGCTGAGCAAACGCGATCTGCTGGAGTGCCCCGTGCGCAGCACGCGTAGCGTGGGGTTCAAAGCTCCAGCGCGTCCCCCCAGGCTGTGCGAAAAGGGCGCTGGGCAGCATCCCTCCGCGAAGGGAGAGGGCTCCGCCGAGGGAGTCTGAACGGCCGAGTGCTGATCGCTCCCCATCACTTCCACATCCTGCTCACACCTACAGATCTGGTGGAAGGGAATATCCTGGTCCTATAGACAGAGGAATGTAACATCTTTGGTAAGCGGCTTACGGCGCTGGCTAATTAGGAGAGGTGAGGTCTGCAAAATAAAACTGAAGAGTAAGCACCTTCCTTTTCCTTTCGGGAATCAGATGCTGCCTGTTTTCAGGAATCCGAGTAGTAAATAGTGACTTTATCCTTTGGGATCATAAGAAATGCAGAGAGAAAAGGTAGGGGTTTTAAAAGAAGTTGGCAGGATAGGCCAAAAGCGTGTTATAGAGGAGAGAGACATTCCGCTGGCCCCACACGCAAGACTATTGTCTAAGCAGGAAAGAATGCTTCAGTAGCTGTAAAACCTCTTCACATTGGTGAAGTTTTGTAAGTCACATTTCTCTTCTTTTTTTACTTCCCCCATCCCCTTCTTTCTCGCAGGCGGCAGACTGTGACCAGTACTCCCTGCTGGATCGAGCTGCATCTCAACGGCCCGCTGCAGTGGCTAGACAAGGTCCTCACGCAGATGGGCTCCCCCAGCATTCGCGTTTCCAGCGTCTCCTAAGGAAGCAGCTCCCGCGGGTGGTGGGGGGGGAAAGACTCTGAAAAACAGAATTGGCTTAACCCTTAGCAAAATGCATAGTAAACAAATTCCCAGTTATTGAAGTGATGAGAGAAAACAATCTGCTTTTTGTTTAAAAAAAAAAAAGGTGGGTTTTCTTTGGTTTGTTTTGTTTTTTAAACTGAATACCCATGTAAGCCACTTCCACTGAAACTGTTAGCACTTTGGTGACAATGCCGTGGGCCATTGCAGGTAGAATTCGAAGTTTATCACAATCAAAAACGGGACTTTGTTTCAGCGGAGAGAAGGCAGAGCTCTGCCTCCACCTGCCTCGTGCCCATCTGGCCGTTCGCGCCGTGCTGTTGTGAGCGTGCAGGAGCCGCTGACCGCTCGGAGGAAGCTTTGCCTCGCACAGCTCCAGGCTTGTGTCGTGCAGCTCCTCTGAAAAGCCCGGTACCGTGGGACTTTGGGAGGACGCTTGCTCCTGCGCTCCTGTCGCCATCCACCTGATCCACACTGTCCTCCCTGGGGCAAAAGGAAGCATTTCAGGCACACGAGAACTAATTCCCCCAGTAATGTTCCCAAAAGGATTGGATTTCCCACGCTGGACTCCCAAGAAGGGGGCAGAGCCTTGCTTCGTGACCGAGGGACGCAGCTGATGCCCCGAGGGTCTCGGACTGGACTGATGTGAAGCCAAAGGGCAAGCGTAAGGCGCTCCCGCCATTGCTGCAGCAACTTTTGACGTGAGCTGCTCCCAGGCAGACATCTGGCACGTGGGGAGCTCCGGCTGGACAAGTGAAGCCTTCGTTATCATGCAGTCTATTTGCATTAACTACAGAAAGTTTGTATGCTATTTTCTCTGTATGTTGAACGGTATCTGCCACTGCTGCAGTCTTGGGGGCTCAGTGGATTCCGTGACGGAGGGGAACAGGCCCTTGCTGCCATCTTCAGAATATGCAGTTTCACAGGTCATCCCATGCTGTCCGTGTGACTGCACATGAACCAGGGCATCTCAGATGCAAAACCCCTCTGTTTAAAACTTATTTCATTGGATTAAAGTGCTCTGAGATGTGGCTTTGCCTGGAGAAATTGGGAGAGTGTGTATTTACTTGTATTATAAAATGTTTGTTTTAAACATCCATGCTCCAGACTGTTTAATAATTTTTTTTTTCCCTGCAGCAACTGTCATGGCAAACAACTTCCACAACTGGAAAAAACCTTTAGCACTTGTTTTTGTGGTTCAAATTTGCCAAATAAGTCTCGTAACTTTGTCAGCGCTATCCAATTATCTGTTTCTTTGTCTCTGCGTTGAATATCCTATGCCTTTGTGCCAAAATATCAGAAGGAGGGGAGAAAGCGATGATCAGTTTCCTATGGAAATCTTTTTTTCTTTTTTTTTTTTTGTTTTTTTCTCATGTACAAAAGACAAACACACGGGCCAGGTCTGGCTCTGGGGAGGACAGGCTCAGATGGACTTCACAGTGGTTTGTGCTAAGGCTTTAGTCCCGCAAACTTTCGTGCTCCCAGACGTGAACGCGAGCGGCCTCGCCGAGTTGAGGGGAAGTTTTCCTGCGTGCCGGGTTGAGGTCTGCAGCTTCGGAGTGCCCCGGTCCCGTACGGGAAGGTCGTCCCCTCATTTCAGACGCTTACCAGGAATTTCCGTGGACCTGCCTGTGGAGAGAGGCTCTCCCGATGCGCCTCTTCCTTTGAGACCCCTCTGTTCACTGACCCCACCACCCACTCGGCAGCGAAACCGTCGCCTTCGGAGCCGGGGCATCGGCGAGGCACCCCTCGCTCGGCGGACGCAGGGGCGATCTGAAAGGCTCGTTGCTGGTGCCTGTTTTCCCAGGCTTTAGAGGAGAGTTTTCTGCCAGAAGCAAGAAATGACGTTTTGCATATGAAATCTAAATCCTGAAGAAGACTTCCAGTGGCGGCTGGGCTCCTGAATGATGCAGGCACTTCTGAAGGTCCTCTTGGAGAGTTTTGACTGGAGCTTTCACCGCACAACGCGGCTTCTATCACAGCGCTGGAGGCTTTCTAGGATTTTTTAAATTTTAGCTTAGTTGTTGCAATGGGTCTGGTTTTAGTTACATCTCTGATTGCACGAACTTGTGCAATAAGAGCATCTGTATCAAGCAGTAGTTTCTAGCCGCTTAAAATTAGGTCTGTCTGTCACTGTGGATTGCTTCAGCACAGGCGTGCAGACACACGTTTCTAACATAGTTGCAAACAAAAATTTATCCTGACTTCCGTGGAAGTATCCGACTTGCTGTTTTAGTGAGAGAGGGAAAAAAATTGCTGCGTAAAATGGACCCAGGTTTCCTCCCCGAGTTTCTTTAAGCCGTATCTGCTGATTTTGGTGAACAAACTGGTTTCGTTGCCCACGTAATCGCAGAGGAAGCTGGACTCTGTGGTGCCTTGTGCATTAGCAACAAAAATGACATCGGAAATTCCAGTGACAGAGAGTTTGTTACACGTGATGGTGTGTGCAGGAACCCAGCCTGAGCCAGAGGCTACAAGCTGGAGTAAACCCGAACTTCAGGACAAAGCTTGCACCCAGAATTGCCCCCTCAGCCAACCTAAGCACTGGACCTGAATTTCCACTATCAACCAGATGTGTATTTTCTACTTGATAAAGGATAATGAATTCCCAGCTGTTATTAATAGATGCCTTTTGAAAAGAGGGTTCAGATGATGCGTTAAAACTTTGGAGAATCTCACCTCATCATGCCTTAAGTAAAATGACTTCAGATGGAAAATGTAAGCTGGTCTAGTGGTGCAGTTAGATAAAATCGCGAAGATTATCGCCACTAAAATATTAATTTCCTCTCCTCCCCTTTGTTTGCCTTCTTACTAATTCCTGAAAGCTTTATGGTTTCTGAAGTTGCCTTATAAAGTCAAACGGAAAGTCCTGCTCCATGCAGCAGATGCGACGATGGAGGCTGGGGAAGGGCGGTGATCCAAGGGACTTTATGGCTGCGTTTCCCTTTACGTCGCGCGATTGAACCGGATTGTACGGACGAAAGCTGCCTCCCCCGCCGATCCGAGACGGGCTTCGCCGGGCAGATGGTTGCAACCAGCAGTGCCCCAGAGGTGCACGCGGCTGCTGCTTGGTTTTACTTTCTTCTCGAACTTTATTAAAGTAGCTTTGATATGTAGCACAAATGTATGCAATCAGCCATGCCCTAGCCTAGATGACATCTCTGTACTGGAATATCTTCTCACGTCATGGTAGTCTTGGCTAGTTTTACCAGGATTTCATACATTTTTGTTACTAGTAGAGAGTCACTAGCAGGAACTTTGACTCTTTTTAACTGGTGTAGCCGTACACAAGGGCCTGGCTGCTGGCAGATGATATGGATGGCCTTGTGGTTTTAAATGACTGTGGTGATTTTTTTTCTGTTGTTATTCTTAATGTATTGAACTGAATTGCAGTTTGTATTTTGTGTTAAGCTTGTCTTAGAAGTAATCCAGTGCTGTCCGTTTGGTTTAATTGCCAGGAATCAGCATGCATCTGTACAAAGATGGAGAAATCTGATCGTAACAAATTTCCCCAAAGCTCTGGCTACCCATTGATGCCATGAAAAGGTTGGGGGGTAACCTTTGGGAAAGGGTTAAACAAACTAGTTTCATCTCCCCTTAAGGATCAACACCCTTCCAGCCATGCAGAGGACTCCTCTGCAGGGTGACGAACGTTCAGGACTCCATCTCAAGCAGCAAGGGTTGACCTCCGTGCCTTGTGCTGCTCACTAACTGGAAAAAGCACGAGGAGCGAGAAGAACGCAGCTCAGTGAAGGACTTCAGCCTTATCGCAAAACATCTGTGAGCTCTCCTAGTTCTCTGAGGTACTGGATAGGTAGGAGGAATGGAATTTCACAAATAAGCTGGTAAGCTAGAACAAGAAATAATTAGTCACTATATAGTAGTTGATTGAGCGGTATGGTTAAGAAATTCAGTATATGTTTTTTATTATGTACATGCTTTTGTATTTATGTTGTCTTTCTTGAATATTCAGATGAATCAAATATTTAATTTTTAACAGAAAGGACGGTTAAGGATTCAGAGTATTAAACCTTCCCTATGCTCTGTTCTGGCGACTGCTAGAAATCGGGCAGTTCCCGATGTGAGAACAAGAGACTCGCTCAGAACTGAGCAACGAACCCTGGGAAACCAAACACAACAAGGACTTCTCCGCAGGAGCCTTTGCCCGAGTCGCTGTTCCATCCCTCAGCAACAAGTCGGGCTCCCAGACGGGCCCTTGAATTGTGCTCTTCAGGTCTTTTCACATCTGGGAGGCTTTACAAAGACGGTAGCGTATCCCTCCATCAGTGGTTTGGTTCATCTTGCGGTTCCTCCAGTACGTGGACACGGGAGGAGCCTGCGCCGGTCTCTGCTGCCGAGACGCCTCTCGTTCGCTCTCCCGACGGAGCAGCCGACTTCTTTCACGCGAGATCGAACTGTTCCCCCTGCGGTAGATACGTACGTGCACGTTTGCAGTAGTGTTTAGATCTTCTTAGCCTGAGATTGTATGTTAATGACCGCTGATGTCACCCTCCTGCTTTAGCTTGTTAAGCATTATTCACCTCTTTTGTTACTAAAGGCCTGTACGATGTATGCCCTCTTCTTTCATATGTGAAACTGTAAGTTCTATTTTTGACATTTTAATAAACTTTGATTTGAAAACGGAGGCTCGTGAGAAAATCGGGGTATTGTAAAAATGTATTTAAGGAGTCTTGGAACCACAGATTAATTCCGAGCCAGCAGCATGTTTAGGTTTGTATAACGAAGGTCGTTCCCAGTAATTCACACGAGATCTCAGTCACAGGTAAGATCTTCACTCTTTTTACAGTTTGGACGGTTTTGTTCATGAATTTAAAGCCAGATATAAAAAATAATTTTAAAATTGCAACTAGTCCTTTTAACTAACAGGATTCAAAGGTGAGTGGAAGTGGAGCACTGGGGCTCGAAGGGTTTATTGTCCAACTGCTGGAAAAGTCCGAGATGGCTGAACGCTCGCTCTTTGCCCAGACTACGGAGCTGTAGCTGTATTTTCACCTTACGGCTGTGAACTGGGAAACTCCGTTATCAGAAGTGTCGGAGCGGCAGTGGAGCATTTACTGCTTCATCCTCCGCATCTTGTCGTGAGGCGGACCCTAAAATACCTCTGGTGTCTCTGTGCTGAGGAACCGTAGCTTTCTGAAGTCCCGTGCAGGAG